GCAGTAAACACGGCGGGTCTTGAAAAAATAGACCGTGAAAGATTGATCAATCCGCCAGTGCCTCAGTTCGTGTGCGATTACGTACATTTACTCAAGAGTGTTAGAAATAACTTCTTGAACACAACTACACCAGTCGGAAAAGCGACATGGAAAGTGATCGAAAAGTTTTATGAAGTCGATTCATTAAACTCTTTTCGCTTGGCACCCAAGATTACGGAAAAGCAGATCAATCCGCAAGGATATGATAGAATGAATACCGAATTGGCTGTTCATGTTTTTTCGAATACGGTCAGCACAGGCATTAAAATGTTTGCTGATCGTGATACTTTTGAAGACAAGGATGCAGCCATTGCTACATCCATTTTTAAAAAAGTATGAACGATGGTTTCGATGTATTGAACAATACATATTTCCGTGCCAATAGAACGTTCACCAATCGCTTGGATGAATTCGCAAGTTATTTGGGAAAGATTAAATTCGGACCCCATAAAATAACCGAATCAGATTACCAAGCCAGTTGCCTGAAAAGGCTGATTGAAACTTGCAAAAGAATCAATCATATTACAAAAGATCTTTTAGAAATAAAAGATATAAAACAAGTAAATACCAGGGGTTTCAACCAAGAACCCTGGAAGAATATTTTAATAGTTTAAAGCGCGAAATTGGGTGGAAATATGATAGCCCAACAGTAGCTTAGTTGGTTCAGCACCGGCCTCTAGAAATACCTGAAAAGGTAAATTTGGAGGATGACGGTAAACAAAATTACACATTAGGAATGGTTCTGTTCGAACTGAACATTGAATGTACTATCTGTCAAAGAATAGTAGTTCCTGATGGAAAGAGCCTCCGTGGAATTAAAAATCCAACACAAGCTCTTTTTGAAAATTCTTTAAATCATATTCAAATATTTACTGAATGCTTCAAAACTAATCCATGCGATAGAAATATTGCAAGAAATATTGTTGAAAAATGCGTTAAGCATGATTTGGAGTGGTTTACGGTTTCTAGTCCATGCGCTTCTCATAGACGCTAAATCGTAGAGCACTTGATAAAAGTGTTTGTGTCTACGAACTATAAGTGGTCCAATGATAAATTAAATACCAATAAATGTATAATAGCAGACAAAAAGGGTTTAGAAATAAACGAAAAAAAAGGAAATGGATGCATGAAGGGCAGCTATATTCTGAAAAGAATAGCCCTTTTGCCAAACAAATAAAGGGAATAATAAAAGATGGCTTTTGTGAATAGAAAATATTTACAACATGCTGAAAGGCACTCATCGCCCTTTAATTTATAAGAATATGCCAATGGCTGCAGAAATGTAGGCTGTCCGATTTACCATCTTTTTCATTATTGAAAAAGAAAAGATCGCTGATGAGGAAGAGTGGTGTCTTCCGAATAAATATATATGTTTTATACGATTTTAGATCTTTTCTTAAACTAAAAAATACTTGAAAACTCCAAGTATTCACAACAAATAATATCCGTTAAATAAAATTGAAAACAAGGGGGCTCTCGTGTCATAAATATTTGGCATCAACCAAAATGGTGGCTCGAAACTGCTTCAAAAATAAAAATTAAATCGATAAAATCGAAAAAGAAATTTCAAAAGTTCAGAGGTTCAATTACGCTCCAAGAAGTGTGGTTGCGGAGGTTTAATAGCGCTCCAAGAAATGTGGTTGCGGAGGTTCAATAACGCTCCAAGAAGTGTGGTTGCGGAGGTTCAATAACGCTCCAAGAAGTGTGGTTGCGGAGGTTCAATAACGCTCCAAGAAGTGTGGTTGCGGAGGTTCAATAACGCTCCAAGAAGTGTGGTTGCGGAGGTTAAAGTTAGCTCCCAGAGGAATGAGTTGCGGAGGATGGAGTACGCTCGGATGGAACTGAAGCTGTCTGTCGCTGGCCTGAGCCGAACAATGATCGCTTCCGAAAAGCAGCTGTTTCTTTATAGGCGGCGGCAACGTTGAAGCAGCGCGGCGCTTCTTCTCTCTCGCTCTGGCACATGTATATCTACCCGCTTGGTGAATCTGCTGCTCCTATCTGTTTCGCTGCGGCGCTCTCGCTCTCTCTGCCCGTTTTGTATATTCGTTTGCATGTGTAGGTTGCTGTCTGGGCTGTAGACATAGGGATGACAACTGCGCCTAGTGATGGACTGTTTTGTACATATAAGTATACCGATTGTCAGGGTTCGTGCTTCTGCAAGTTCCCTTTGTATCTCAATATCAAATGGAAAAAAAGCAGATGCAAAACTGGATGATTATTTTATTTTTCGAACCGTTGTTTTAACATATTATAGGGGAAATATATTGTTCTCGGTAATACCTCGTGGTTATTCAAAAATCGGTTAAAAAATATGCTCGTGTAGGAAAATTATCAAAAAATACGATTTTGGTGCTTCAAAAGCTGCGCTTAAAACGTATGTATATATTCTTTTGATATATTTATTACCAAAGTAGTCAACGTTATGGGTGTTCGAAAGCAAGGCAAATGCCACAACACGAACCTTTTCAAATCAACTGGTCGCCTATTTGTTCGAAAACTGATCACACATAATTCTGCAGTAATTCTGAAAGGTAATTAAACATTTTTTGGTCGAAGGTTTATGTAGAATTGAGAAAATCCTATGATGGCAGGATAGGATGCTGCACCGAAGCAGGAGATCCAGCGTCAGCTGGAGGCAACTACCTTCGCAAGGCTTCGAATACATTATTTTCTTCCAAAAAGAATGAAGAATTCATTTCGAAATCTTAGTTAAATATATTTTTATTGAACAGAAATGAAGAGTGTATATGCTTTGTTTGTTTTCCTTAATTAAACGCAAATTAAAAACTCGCTTTTTATTTTATTGGCCAATGTCTCGAAACTAAAAAAAATTTGAATAAAGTCGCAAAAACTTGCTAAAAATAATTGTAATTTTTTTGTATAAAACATACATATATATTATACATATGTATATATAATTGTGTTTGGTAATTAACTTAATTGCATTTGTTGTTTTTTGTTTTGCTTTGAATGGTATTCTGTATCGAGTCGAAGCGCTTAAGAACTAATTGTTAGACTCCTGAAGATTTGTATCGAAAAAGATCCTAAATTGCATTGCTATTGAATTTGCATTCCAACTGAATCAGGTTTGGTTTTTGTTCATCTCTGGTTTTTTTTTGTTAAAATAATATAATATAATATGTATTTTATGTATATTTAAAGTCACATTTAGAACTTGTTTGATTTGTATTCATTGAACTTGATTACTTGCTGTTTTCGTTTTTTTTTTCCTAATAACAATTAAAAAGATCACCAAAGTTACAGATTTCCCATATTTACGTTGCTCAATTAACTTCTTTATTTTATTTTTGCCGATGTATGTATTGTATTTTGTTTATTCAGCTTAGATTACAACTAATATTATGTATTTTATTTATTGATTAGTTACCCGGCATTTTGGTTGATTTTTAAAGTAATTTTTGAGGGATGTTGTCAGATGATGATCTCATTTATCGAAGATTGGTTACGCGTATATAAATAAATATATATATATATATATATATTTATGTATGTATGTAAGTATGGATTATGTATGTATATATGTCTATACGATTTTTTCTAGTCGAATTTCAGCTAATGTTTATTATCTCTGATTCATTGAGAGTGTGAGCGTGCGTGCGTGTGTGTTATGGTGTGGGTGGACTGAGGACTGATTGGAAGAGTATAGAGTACACACACACACATATAAGATACATTATTTAGAGATATATAATTGCTTGGTGTTTTTAGTCCTTATCATTTCTGGATTTCTCTGGCTAATTGGTAATTGTGGCAAATTGATTTTGTCTTGTATTGTATTTTAGACTTGCTATATATTTTTATTTCCTTTAGGAAGAGTTGTGCAAATTGCTGTTCTAGCTTCGATTTTGTTCTGATTTTATCCCTATATATATGTATATATATATATATATATATCTATATACATATATATGTATTCATGTTGTATATAATTGTAGACATCTATAAACGGCACATTTATAAGTAATATATGTAGAAACAATACGATCGATCCGATCCTATACCCATCTATGTAGATATTCCATCCCATTAATATGCGTGTCGTTTGTTTTTAGTATAAAGCTCAATTGAATTTCGACAGATTAGATGGTAATTTAAATTGTCTTTCTGTATGTTCACCCCGACTTATGCGTAGAACTTAAGATATAGGACGTTCCACACTGTTCTTCAAAGTCTGTTTCCTATTATTCTTCAACCTCTCTCCTCTCTTCTTCTATCTTCGATAGCTGCCACACTGAAGAAACCGTTAAATTGTTGTATGTGTGTGTGTATTGCTTGAAAAGGGAAGTCCGTAGTGTACACTAGGATCTGATCATCTACATTTAAATGTCGTAAAAGATACACCTATAACTACGTAGATACAAGTATGTTGGGACTTGTCCCTTGTCTGGATAGTTATTGGCCGTTTTCTTGCATGGTTTGAGGAGCGCTCTCTGGTCTTCAAAAATGTTCCGTTAAGCAATTAGTTAAAGCTTTTGGACTTGCTAATCAATCAATTCTGTCTCTCGGTGAAAGTAAATTATTGCTGAATTTAAGGATCAGATCATTATACAACTACGAGATGCATTCATTGTCATTGTCGGGCACACTTTCACTCTTCAGCTTCTGCTTCTGTTTTTGCTTAAACCTAGACAAGAAAATCGTAAATGTATTAACCTCGATCCCTTCCTTTTGCATTGTGTTCGTTTTCTTTTTGCTTAAAAATAGGATTGGATTCCGCTTGGGCATGATGGGTAATAAACACTCTACTTTAAGTAAACATTTAGAAATAAATTTAAAATTTTAATCCCTTGTGTTGAAACGTGACTACAAAGAACAAATAGAAACGGCGGTCAAATTACAATTCAATTAAAAGAAATCAGATCAGATCAGATCAGAAATGTGATTTCGCTCTGAAGATTACCGACTAATTTGTAAGAGTTTTATAAATGTATATATGCAAATTAATGTATATAATATATATATATATATATATGTATATTTTGAATTTTACAATTCTCACATCATTTATGCGACTGGCAAAACTAAGCCTAATTTGATGATTGTGTTGGGGTTTGCGTGGGTTGTACTCGTACATAGCATACATACATAAGTATAAGTATAAGTATAAATAAGGTGCTGGTGCAGGAGGGACGGCGAGAGATGGCTCTCCTCCTGCATAGCATTTTAATAACAAATCATTATAATGTTAACTTGAACTGTGTCGTCGATATAGAATATGTATTATTCATCTTTCCATATTGCATTTTTCTCTTGTCGTTTGTTTGTTGTGTTTTGTTTCTTTGTTTTGTATTTAATTAATGGCAAATTAAAACTACTTTGTAAAATATTGAAATGTTGTTGCCACCCACACAGTGTAGTGGGAAGCAGTTGGTTTCCTTGCTCTATATTACCCGTACACCACTTGGCTAATGTTAATTTTAAATACGAAATTACATTGATGCTCTCGCCCCAGCGACGCGAGGAAATAACAAATAATGGTTTTGCTCTAAAAAAATTTAAAATATTAAATACAATTAAATATCGTTAAGTTAAGCTTACGGGTTAAGGTACATAAATAAAGGGTGGATTGGACATTTGAGTGATATGCCTGTGGGACTCAGAGTTCGTGTGTGTTTTACGGGCGTTGGCGGTATGGGAGTGTCTCGCTGAGCATAAAAAAAGATTAACTAAAGACTAACACAAAATATCAGCATATTATTTGCACTTTTGAACAAATTATATATATATACACATATATATATAATTGATGTATCGTATGTATGTATATGCTTAAGTATTTCCGGTATCGCATTCGTATTGGTTGGTTATTTCCCCGATTCTTTAAAAAAATTATAATTAGTACAGTGTATTTGTTGATGGTCATAAATCTATGTAAATATTAATAGCAATTGTTTATACCATACGTTTTGTCCCTTGTAGAAATTGGATTTATCGTTATGCCGCTCTCTCTCTCTCTCTCTCTCTATATATATATATATATATATATATATATATCATATCCGTCCGGTCCGTCTTCTTTCCTTTGTTTTTTTGGTAGAGCCAAATCTTACAAACTATTAAATGTTTTCAGTTTAATCTGCACTTTAGTTATTGAAGTATTTAATTCATTTTCGTTTCGTATTTTCTATGTTGTGTTTCAGCGCTTTAATGCCTTTGTCGAGTCGAGTGCCCCCACTTATTGGTGTTTAGTTTTCCCTTAAATGTTCATCTTTATCTTTATTTTCATTTTGGTGGTGGTCTTCGTTCACAGTACAGAGAATCAGAGTTTTAATTTGTTGTTGTGTGGTGTGGTGTTTTATTGCGGTTTTTGTGTGTTGTATGTTGTGTGAGTCGTCGATCAGCAAACATATTCAATTGTTTTTTGTGTGCTTTGTTTTTCATTCGTTTTTGTATACTAAAAACCTTTGGTCGTATGCGTTCATTCATTCTTATTCAAATGTTCATTCCATCCGTTCCATCCCCCCCCTTTTGTCTTCAATTCGTTATTTGTAAAAATATATTGTACAATTTATTGTATTTTTAATTGGTTTCCCCCCCACATTTACAAAAGTTGTGTCTCTCTCTCGTGGTGTTCTTGTAGTAAGTTTGATGATAGATAATTAATGCTGCTGCTTGGCTTTTGGTGTTGCGTTCGTAGTTTTGTTCCCTTTAAGTTTAGTTTTTGTTAAAATGGTTTTCCATTTTTTTTTTTTAGCCTTTCGCCTTTTCGCTTTGTTTGCTATGCTTCTGTTGAGAATTTTCACATTTTGTTGTGCATTAACATTCGATTTCCTTCCCGATCCCCTATTCCCTATGTCTATAATCAATTCTTCACGTTGTCGTGTCGCGATTTCATTTTCACGTTTTTGTAGCCCTCCTTGAGTCGATCTCTGTGTGTGTGTGTGTTTGAGTGTTTGCTGTGGGTTTTTGTTGTGTCGTTTTGCCCTAAAACTAATGCATGCAAGATATTCCTTATATACTCCTTAAACTCTCTCTCACTTTCTAAACTTAAACGTTAAACTTTCTCTTTGCTTGGCTTTTCTGATTTGAGGAGGGATTTGGGAGGGTTATTGGGGAGGTGGGGAGGTACTCTCTTTCTCTCCATCTCTCTTTGCTTATTCGAATTGAATTTCGAAGTTGATTTTTAATTTTTGATTTTTGTTATTGTTTTCTTGGGGTTTCTTTGTTGGGGTTTGTGGTTCGGTAATTTGGCTACTTTTTAGGCAAAGTACATGACCTTCTTCGTGTCCGCATGGACCGTGATGGCTCTGGCCATAGCTCCCGGTGTCCGATCCTCTGAGCATCCGCTCTGGTGTGAGCCCTCGCCGGAGTCGTGCTCCTTCTCCACCAGATGATACCTGATGGCATAGGTAGGGGGAAAAGAATAGAGAATTGTAGGAACAGCCACTTGCTATAGGGGATTTTCATCTCACCTTGCACGAAAAGCCACCAAGTGGGCATAGTAGGCTGGAGCTGGTATACTGACGGAGCGCGTGCACCTCACATAGGTGTGGCACAGCTGATACGTGAGGCACTGAAGCTCGTCGGAGTCAAAGTGATTGTCATCCCAGAGCACGTGGTAGTGCGAGGGCCGGCTGGTGCCTTGAATGCCCTGATGACTGCACAGATAGAAATCAAATTCGGTTGGATGCGTGATGCCCACGTCGACGGTGGTGCCGGCCGGTATATTGCCAGACTTGCCGCTCTGCTCCTTCTTCTCGGCGCAGAAGAGTCGCGTGTGATGGCGCTTCTGGACTACGATGAATGTGATGCCTGGCCTGTATTCGGGCTCTAGCTTGATGCACGCCTCCCTTATGGCGGTCAACTCGTGCTGCAGCACATGCGGGAACTGTCCCTCGGAGACGCCGTCCCGGTACAGGATGATTCGGTGGGGTTTGTAGCCACCCGTCGACTTGTAGAACATAATCAGTAGCTCGCGCACCATGCTGCTCAGCTCCTGGATGATCTCCTGGCGGTGTTGCTGTACTCGCACAGTGGCCGCATATCGCGACGGATGGGCGTCCATTGAACCAACAACAGCAGCAATCGATGGCTTCTTGTTATCGCCGGCTGGTGGGTGTGTGACGTCAGCTCCCAGGAAGATAACGGGCTCGTTAAATACCTTGGGCCGGATGGAGGGCACCAGAATCGAATTGATGCCGCCCAGCTTGACGTTGATCTTCAGACACAGATTGGACAGCGTCTGGGGCGATGTCTTGTTCACGTTCTTCGCCTGTACACACTGGGTGGCCATGCCCAAGACGGTGTCGCCCACGCGCTTGACCTCCGCATAGACCGGGGTCTTGCCGGGCAGCACAACCACTACGAGCTGCAGCCCCGGGAAGGTGATTTTCAGGTATCGGAACATAGGCTCCACTTGATCCGGCCCCGTAGCATATTTGCAGAAGCAGGGCTGGCCTATTATCGGCATACCGGCGTCGTTTGAGATCTTCTGCAGCTGCTGGGTGAAGTTCCTCAAGGCATCCTCGCGCACTGTTCGCTGCGGGGCAAAGCAGGCAATGGCCCAGATCCTGATCTCCACGCCCGTGAAGAACTGCTTGCCGCGCATGTCCCAGACACCTTGGTTGGGCGAGGCAAGGCTCACCTTATTCTGGGGCGGAAACAACTGCTGCCCGGTGATGCCAGTGGACACACGTCCCCCATACTGAAGCTTGGGCGGCGGTAGCACTCGTCCCCTCACCTCCATCATCGAATTGGAGATGGCCAGACCGAACTCCTGGACATACGAGTCATTGTTAAAGTCCGCACGCTTCACCAGGTTGTTGATCTCACGCTCGCGATCCGGTGCCGAGCGTGCAGTGGCCTTGATCATCGTCGAGGTCTGCATATCCGTGAGCTTTTTGATGCATCGCTGGCCAGCCACAATGTTGCACACCTCGAGGGGCAGATAGGTGTGCTTGTGCTCCTGTCCCACCTGCAGGCACGGCAGATGGGGGTAGCGCAACTTCATTCGATACTTGTCCAGGAAATACTTGGCCACAGTGCACTCCACAGTTTGACCATTCTCCAACTGCAGTGGGAATCTGTCGAAGAGAAAGAACCAGAAGCGTAAGATACTGTCCGCAGTCTGAAGTCTGCATTCCCAGATTTCGTTTGAACTCACGATTGCATTTGAGCCGGTCGGCGGGTTACATTGCAGACACGATACTTGCGCCGCATCTGGCCGCAGTGCGTGATCTCAATCTTGAGTCCCTTGATCTCCTTGGTGAACTTGACCCGCTGCGAGTCTGTGAGCGGCTTGCGCTGCTCCATGATGTCGCGTATATCCAGCACCTCGCACATAAAGTCAATCACGGGTTGAGCCTTGTAGAAAGCAGTGGCCGAGACTGAAAAGGGGAAGAACCGCAGAGATTAGCAAGAAAAGAGAGAGAGGGAGAGAGAGGGGACCGCGACGTACCATCAATGTTCAGCATCATTTTCCATTGCGAGGGCCTCACGCTTTGATGGAAACCGAACCAGACCTCACGGCCACCACCCAGAGGATGATAATAGCCATCCGGCGAGCTGAAAAAGCTGCGTCCAACTGGCGTATAGGTCATGCTCGGCAGATGTCGCATGACCACGTCCAGGGCAAGGATGGCGTCGTAGGGTATTTGACGCGTGCGACCCTCCAGAGCCTCCTCCAGGTTGAATAACGAGACCTGGGCCTGCCACTTGATCGTCACGCGAAAGATGCGGTCCTTGCCCTCGCCGGGCAGTGTCACCTCCAGCTCGAGGCGCTCGTTGCCAATCGGCAGAGGATCGCGGGTGTACAGGTTGTTCCGTCCGTCGAATACAGGTTTCAGAACGCCAAAGATCTTGCTGTACGCCTGCACCATGGTCTCGATAATCTCGCGATTCACCTTGCGCGGACACTTGTCCGGCTGTATGTTGATATCGTAATGATGCACATAGCCGCGAGGCATCGTCACCTGAAAGTGATTGGCTCGAAGTACGATCGGCCTGCCCTCGCGTCCCAGATTGGGGCGACGCGGACATGTGAAGACGGGCATATCCGGATTGGTGGTCGGAGTAGCGGTGGCAATCGCAGCAGTCACAGTCCCGGTTGTGGTTCCCAGGGTGGACGCCACCTGGGAGGCTGCTGATGAGGCCGTCGCACCCACAGTGGCACCCCCAGCTGCCACATTCTGGGCACTTGGGCTGGTTACAGCGGTGGGATTGACCGAAGAACCCGGCGCTGGTGGTGCTGCAAGGCCAATTTCGAGTTAGATTCATCTCTCACATTGATTTCGAATAGTATATACAGGTACAGAAACGGAACAAAATTCGAGAAAACAAAACAAAACTAGCCACTAACTAACGTCAGCGTGTAAAAGACAGTTTTCACATGCATAGGATAATGGAATCTCAGAAATATTGGTAAACTTTTTATTTTGTGCAACACTGAAGTGTGGCAAGTGTGACATCATCATAACCGTTGCTAACGGTGATTTTATTATTATCAGTTTCATATAAAAATCAACTAGTTAAAAGGAGACGCAACTAGTGTTATAAGTGCACTGCTTGCCAGACTGCTCGCGACTGCTTATATACCGTTTAATTCCAAGGAGATTCTCCATCGAACAGTGAAACCAGAATAAAATGTAAACAAAGCAACAAATGGCATGCCCCGGAAATAAAACTTTAGTGGTGGGGTTTTTTTTTTAATCTCAGTGTAGGGTTGTGTTGTACTTTAAGTGCACTTTCCATATACATACAAAAAGAAAACATTTACACGTAACGAAAAAAAAACAACGGAAAATAACAACATCGTTATTCGTTAGTAACATTGCTATACAAAGTTAATTTTGTGTTGGGCTTTAAGGGTTAGGTTAGTAGTGTTGTAGAATCGTTTAAAGAACATCAACTAAAGAACACATAAACACAAACAGTTTGTAGCTTTCGAATTAATCAAATTGTATAACACTTTTAGTAATTAGTAAATTTTAGTTGGTAATTTTTGTTGGAGAGAAATTTACATGTGAGCGTTTCGAAGCTAGTCTGCGCCTGAGAGGGACTCTGAGCCCGCGTGGGCGAGGGGGTCCACTGTGACTCTATAAAAAGAAAATTTAATCAAATAAACGAAAAAATAAATCAAATAAAAAATGTGATGGCCAATGATTGTTTTTTGTTTTTTTGTTTGGTAAGTAAGATCCAATCAAAATACCAAATGTGAAATGATGAGATAACCAAAACAAGAGGCGAGAAAAGAAAATGAAATTAGAGTGCGATTAATAACATTTTAGTTACAATTTTTTATCGTCATCAATAAATAGTATACAATATATAATGGTAAATGTGTCTGGTTGTGCGTCTTGCTGCCAAATGTCTCCCCCGCTCCACCCACACCAAATCAGTGACCATCGTATGGGGGTGTATGTCGTCGGTCTGGGGTTAGCCACCATTTTGTTATTAGTTAATGCACCTCTAAATTCCCTCTTCTTCGAGTGGGTTTATTTTTGATGTTCTACAGGAAGGAGTTGCATAGGCGGCAAGCTCTGCCACATCGGTTTTCGTTACGACGCAATTGGAGAGGTTTTTTTGAGACGTACATCCGGCCGAGCATCTGTCGAGCAGACCAGAGCCAAGCAACCCCCCCCCCCCCCCCCCAATAGGAAACCAAACCAACTATTGCGTCGCGACGGTCGTTGACCCAATTTTTGCGCAATTTTAGCTCTCCACGCACGTGTCGCCTTGTGTAGAAGTTTTGGAGTGGTCGTAGAACATCAAAAACTTGATTAGTGGGTGCTGTATGGTATATGTATATTGTAAGTACTGTCAGGGGGGAGCGATGGCAGCACAATTTTTAGTCTGGGTATCGAGTCTTTGATTATTTTGCTTTGGCGATCGCCTCGACTTACGTTGACCGACTGGATACATTTTCTTGCACTATGTTAAGTTTTATTTAAGAAAAATAGTTTAATTAATGTATAAAAAGGTTGTTGTTGGCTCGTGTTTGGATGTCTTGTGTTTTGGTGTATATGTAATTGATTGTTGTTGATGTTGCTTGTTGCTTTTGGTTTCTACTAATTATTCATAGTTTTTTTGTTTTGTTTTTAGATTTCAGCCTTTTGCTTATCACACTTTAAATTAGTTTAAAGTTTTATTCGTTTGGTTGATTCTCCATGTTGTTGTTGTTGCGCGTGGGCGTGGCGTAGGCGTAGTTATATATAATATCTATATATATATAATTATTTATATATATACGTATATATGTATTGGAATGAGCACAGACTGGTTTTGAAGATCTGTTGGCTCTTTGCTTGCATTAACATTAGTTTATTTATATTATTATTGTGGTTGTTGTTGTTTGTTTTGTATGTTTAGTATTGGAAAAGAACACAAATGTAGGCACAGCTTTCGTTTAGTTTATATGTACACTCCTATGTACACACATATGCATGTATATATACACTTATATACATATGTGTATCCTAATGCTTTTGTAATACAACTAAGAAAAATTCTTCTTTATTCTCGCATATCTCGCTCGTGAGTGTTAGTGTGTGTGCTCTGGGCTCTGGGCTATGCTCTGCCCTGGTGCTCCGCTCCGCTCTGGCTCTGCTCTATACAGCAATAAAACGCTGTTGTATGCGTTTAATATGGCAGCAAAAATGTGTGCACGTATAATTCTGATCTGATATTTTCGAGACGTGGTTTTTGTGCACCAAACACGTTCGCGCTGCCCGAAATTATGCACAAACTGTGGCCAGACTATCGAATTTTGATTTTCCACAACTTTTGTTAGCTTTTCACGTCGCGCATTATGCAAAAAATGCAATTTTCTTCAGGTTTTCCCACAGCAGGCACCACACCGTCCACACAAAAATCGTACTCGCGACGTGTGAGCGTGACGCATGCTGTACACTCTTAACCACACTTAAATGAGGGCAAAGCACTCCGGCTAGACAGAATGGGTGCGAGCAGGACGTCGATACGAGTCGTCATTGCGTTTGCAGTGTATGCAGTTCAGGGTTGCTCTCCAGCATTCCAGTGCTGTAAGATGCTGCCATGAATTCGATAGCTAAATATTCGTTATCGCTATCAGCTGTTTTTCAGCGTGTATATTACGTCGCTCGTAATTATTGTTAATTCTATTTTGCAATTCAACCAATTCCTTAAAATGTCGGTGCCATTTAGTGGCACTCTTCGACGTTCGGGCGGCATTGTTTCGGCCATCGGAAAGCAGCTGAAAAGCATCAACCTAAAAGGCGTCAAACGCATCACACTCCAATTTGATCCGTTTGCGGAAAATGTCAAGTCTACCCGGTGAGTGGGAGGGAAATCTGGGGAAAAGCGCTTTTCATTTATCGATTATGAAACATGCGCAGTTCGTGGTGTGGTCTCATTTCGGTCAGTAAATGGAAAAATTTTCTCGAAACAAAAGTGCATGAGGAAACAAAAGTAAACCAAAAAGTGCAGTGAACTATTACACGCAAACCGATTACTTTACTACCAAGGTTGAGGGTGAGGATGAGGCGAATGAAAACTTACCGTAGACCTTTCCAATGATGCCCACGGTGGTGTTGATCTGGAGATCGGGAAATGTCAACGGCAGCGTGTGCGTCAGGAGCTGAGCTGGCCCGCCAGGAGCCAGCTCGCGCTCCGTTGACATTTTGGTCGGTGTCGGCGTCAGTTTGAGGCGTTGATGTACAGCTGAAACGGGAATTGCAGAAAATCGATATACTAATTGCCTGACATCCATCTCTTCCATATTGCAGCGAATTCTTCTTCCTGCTCTCCACACCCAAGGTGATCCAGACAAATCCCAAGTGCGTGGTCAAGTCGGATATTGTGTGTGACCGTCAGGCGGCTTCGATAAAGTTTGCCCTTATTGATTCGGCGCAAGGTAATCATATCGCACTATTTTCGCATAGTTATCTGTAATGTCCCCCTTTTTTCTGCAGAACAAGCTAAAGTAAAGGAGATCCGCTTCAACAGTGGCAACCTGAACACCCTCGAGTTACTGGAGCTTTGCAACAAACACGTCTCCAGCTTGGCCCCACCCGAGGAGGTGACCAACAAGGTACTGACCAAGGCAGAGAAACAGAAGCTGGGCGGCGGCAGCAAGAAAGCGTTGAAGAAGAAGTAAAACTCTTTCATCATGGTAAAGAAGCACAAAGGCACCCTGGCTGTCATCGAGCAGATTTACCAGGATATACCCGCATTTTCCGACATCTTCACCGAGGAGAGCTTCTACACGTTCGCCTTTTGCTTCGTCTGTGCCACCATACTGGTGGCTTTTATTCTCTCGCGGTTTATCACCATCAAGCCAGTCGACTTCTGAACTGTTAGTCCCGAAATTGAAATTCTGCACACGTACATTAAAAAAAAACTTAAGCCTTAACATGTACAACTCCACTGTATTGTATTTTCGGGAATAACTAAACGAAAGGGCAGCTCCAACGACCGCTGTGTCGGGTCGGTGGTTTCATAAACCAGTTTTGGACTCTGGCAAACCGGAAAATCATCTGCTCCTGCTGCTGATGTCAGCAGATGAGAGTTGGAGTCCAGCCAGTCGCCTGCCTGGCATCCGGAGCTTATAATTGAAATGGGCGGAGGAGTGGAGTCGATAATAATTGGGGCCTCGAGAGGAAGTCAAGCAGACAGTTTTTTGAGCACAAAATGCAACAGGGCCACAAAGGAGAGCACTGGGTACAGACAAAAGCTCTTATCCTCCAAAACTCAAGACAGCTGTTAAGATGGAGTTCCATTTCGTTTTTGAAGTCTCCCTTTGTGGTTTCTTCACTCCCACGCAGGAAAAATAGGAAACCAACGAACTGAGAATACTGTCGAAGCTTTTGGGGTAAAGTTTTAAAATGGCGGGCTCTGTATCTATGTGTGTGTGTATGTGTGTATCTGTTTGGGCAACAACTATGTACAGCCAAAAATGCAGCAAGACAATCTGTTGGAGTGTGGCAGCTGCAAACCTGGTGAAAGTTTCTTTGAAGCTGAGCTGTCAACTGGTAACCGGAGCACATGAACAACACAGCACAGCCTTTAATGTAAGGGTTATTAAGAGTGTAACACTGACTGCTAGTTGTAACTGTCTGCCAAGTTCAATGTCAAGCTGAAAGCTTCTTGCCATTAACTGTTTTGTCGGCCATATTGGAAATCAAACTCCCATCGCGACCCGACCTGGCCCGTCCCTATGGGAGTATGGCAATTGACTTTTGTCTTTCGATGTACTGACGTAATTTGGTAGCGTAGGGTAAGGAGAGTGAAAGTAGCTGTTGGCGGGGAGGGGGCAAAACAACCCTTCTAATTGGATGAGACACATACCAATACAGGTGCCATTTGGACGCAGACTGTCCTTCAATACAATACATTTTATTAGTGGCAGCATACACATACTTTCCCTGAGAATATACATACATAAGTAAGTACATGGTCTACGGCGACCTTTCTGCCCAAAACATAAACAGAAACGGAAGCTTGAGCGCTCTGTTCTCCGGGACATGAGCATGTCTGTCCCATGACCGACACATATTAGTAGCACTAGTGGTCCTGCTCGCACAACAGTGTGCTCTTGAAATCTCCCATAGCATATGCTCAGGCGCCATTTATGTTTATTTTTATGCCCCTGCATCCATTTTTTTGTACAAAACGAATCGTGGGCGACCAGAAGTTCCTGCAGCTGTTCTGGAACACTCGATTTCTCCTCAGTGCGCCCGATTGCAGGATACTTTCTAGTGTGGGGTGTGCTGTGTGGGTGGTTGTTGATGCCGGCACAGGCAAAGGGGCCAATGTTTACTCACCTTATCGCAAAATTGCAGCTGACTTGAAGGGACTTGCTCTTGCTCGCCCCCTATCAGCCAATCAGCGACAAATCGAAGCTAGTTTTCGTTGACGATTTTCTTGTTGGAGACAGCAGCTTATGACTTTTCTTGGAAGGGCACTCATTAAAAGCGTTTACTGGTTGTTTGCTGAATGAATGGCCGTCGGCCTGCTTTTTTTCCACTCCGTCAAAGATTGACACGTCTTAACTCTGATTAATTCAGGCTCTTGGTGCTCCTGAGGACAGCAGTGGGGGACGATTCTTTGGTTAAAAACAAGAAATATATGTAAGTGCAGGAAACACGGTTGCGTTGCCTGCCGCCGCAACGCAATTTCTTTCGTGGCTGCTGTTGTTGTTGGTGTTGCCAGATCGTTGAACACGTACACACAAACACACACACACGAAGGCAGAGTAGAGGCAGATACAGCGACAAAATTGCAAATTTTTTAAGCTTTTTTTTGTTTATTCGACAACACACTTTTTTCTCGCTACCTACGCTATGGTGTAGTGTATTTTTATTCAGTTACTTTTTTTGCAAGCTTTATTCGCGAGTGAGAGTATGGTTGCGAGCGTAAGAGTCAAAGGTTGCGAATGTGTGTGCTGCCTTGGCTCTCTCTCTCTCTCTCTCTCTGTATCTCTCTATCTATTGTTGTTTTTTGCATTTTGTTATTGCCGCAAGTACTTTGGAGGGAAAAGCTTTCCCAACAATCCAGTCAGAGTTGGAAAAAAAATACAGACGCAATCCACAAACACTAACACACACACACACATACACTTAATAACACCAGCACACTCACATAAACACAAAGTTTCTGCAAAATGAAAGCACCAACAAATCGACGCAAAACGCAATGCGAGAAAATTGCAAAAATTGGCAATTACTTGGATCACAAGGAGAATATTCGATTGGAAATCGTCTGTTGGAGAATTGTGCTTTTTTTAGTGGATGAGATCGTTATGTTATGTGAGAATCAGCCAAAAGTACAACTAACGCGCGCGATTTGCAGCAGATACAACTTATGCATGCCCGTTTTGGAATTGAATAAATATTGTCGTCGAGAGAGAGAGAGCAGAAGCACGGCACACACGAGCGCACTATGGGCCCAGCAACTACTTTTGTTGGCAAAAACCTAATTTTTAAAAGTTAAATAAAAAACCTGATCACTCAGCATTACTGCGTACCAGATGGATTTCCATAGATGGAGCCACATTCGCAAAATCAGTGGTGCCACACAGCTGTTGCTCTTATAAATTTAAAAAAACCAATTACTGATATAAATTTTGTGATGAATTTTAATCAGTCCGGTTTGTACTAAGTGTTTTGTGATGTAAACCGTACCCCACGGCCTAACTAAGACGGGGCAAATACGACCTCGCATTTGCTTTAAAGTTTTATGTTTATGCCCAGAAAAGGCTAATTTTATTCGCAAGGCTCGGAAAGCCGACTCTTATCTCACCTAACGAGGCGTTACACCTGCTTCTCGATAAAAGATCTCGGGAAAGATTACGCAAAGATAATGGATCAATCAAACCGGAAACATTTTAGCATGGAAAGACAGTTGGAGACAAAAGTAGAGGTTCCGCTTCAGCCCACAGTGCTAATAGAATTTTTTTTATTTAAACAGTTTTTTGGTAAAAATATTCTCAATACATGTTATTTACTATGTATGTATCTTGTTTCGTTTTGACAACAAAAGTGGTCGTTTGGACCATGGTGGAGCGTCGTCGCTGTTGCGTTTGCTGGTGTGCGAATGTATTTGTGTGCCGACTCTAAACTGCCTCAAAACAGTATGCCTATATGTGCTCGACTGGGGCCAGACAGGGACAACCATACAAGCCTAATACATACAAACACTCCGTATCGTTTCGTTCAGGGGGGGGAAACGACCTTGGGGCTTCAAAACATGAAAATGCTCGCATAAATCATATAAATAAGAGACAAATCGAATATTGAAGTTCAGATGTGTGCCATATCTCTGGTAGTTAGCTTCTTGCCGAGATAATTTATTCAGAACGAAAATACTTTTAAAAATGTGCAAAAACTATTTGTTTTGAACGCGTTTGATTTGCTTGCGTGTTATTGCTTTGCTACACAAGTGAATGCTATTTCTGTTTCTCCTCCTGCTTCTCGACGGGCTCAGGATTGTCGTCCTTGGCAGCCTCGGGCTCGGCTTTCTTCTCGGTCGCCTCCTTCTCTCCGCCCATGGTGGTGCCAGCGGGAAGACTCTTCTGCAGGGCATTCACAAAGTCCTCCAGGTTGCCGGAATAGGCGGCTGCTACGGCATCATTGGAGAGCTCAAACTGCTTCACCACCGGACCCAACTGGGCCGATTGCAGGGCATTGGAGAACTGGGCTAGGGCCTGCTGGAACTGTGGGGATGTAATGTGATCCTTAATCTGCTGCTTGCGATCTTCATCCGCATTCTCCGACTCGGGCAGGTGCACAATCAGTGTCTTAACGCGCTCCGGATCGGCAATAAGCTGATTGATGGCTTCCGCGCCCGAGAGGGCCGTCGATAGGTCGATGTTCAAAGAACGCCCTGCGCCATGTTCGGGGGAGAGATTGGATAAATACGCTTGGAATGGATTGGCATAGGCTCCAGTCGTTTCTGATGCTGTCGTAGTTGATGTGGTTGAGTTCTTACCGGAGGCATCGGCATCAATGGACGAGCTGGCACTGCCAGCGGTGTCGCTCTGCGAATTCAGATTGCTACGGCTGCTGCCCGACTTGGAGCCCTTGGGTGCGGTGGGAGTGCGGGGCACACTGATGTTCTCGGGCGTTTGCAGCGCCGAGGCGCCTCCCGACGACGAGGTGTTACGGGACGACGGTGTGCGCGAGCTATAAGGATAGAATTGGTGTTCTTATCATATGGAAACAGAGAGCAGTAATAAAAACTCACTTCATTTGGCCCAGCAAAGAGCTTAGGCCTCCCATTTGGCCCACACCGCCGAAGAGCTGCATCAGCTGCTGTTGCGACATGTTGTTCAGCATGTACTGCAAATCGCCGTCATTGCTGCCTCCTCCCCCGCCACGCTGATGAGCCGAGGGCGGATTGTTGAGGAGCTCGTTGATGCGACGGCAGTGCTCCTCGTCCTTGTCGGTCTTCGGCTCCTGCATCCAGAAGAACATGCGACGAGTCGAAGACTTGAACTTGAGCACATAAACGCGTCCGGTTTTGCATTGCTCCACGCGCTTGTACTCAAAGTCATCGGGAAAGACAATCAAATCATCCTCGACCTTGCCGGAGGTGCGATCCTTCCAGCAGAAGTGCATCAGGCCATCGTCGGATTGGGTCATGTACACCGAACCCTTGCGCGAGTCGGGGTGTACCATTTTGCCCACCATGTTCATGCGTCCAGCACGAAACTCCACCAAATTACTGCTGTTGCTGGAACTGCCAAGTCCACTCTGTCTGCCAAACATGATGCGGGAGCTTCTCGAGAGCTGCAATGTACACATATAGAATTAGGTCATAATAATATTTAATGTTGCTTCATTGTCTACATGTTCCGTTAGCATCAGGACATAGTAAGACTTCGCTTGTTTTTCGACATACTTACGGGATATATATTGTGATAAATTAAATTTAAAGTCTCCTGTCAATGACGAGCAATAATTTGTTGGTGATGCAACTTACAATCGATGTCTTTATCGATAGTAGCAATAAATTTATAAATATACCGATGAAAAAATTAACTTAGCCCACTTAAGCCCCCTTTATTTAAACTGGATAACGTCTCATGACGAGCAATGATTTGTTGGTGATGCAACCAGTGTGACCGTGACAGAATGTCGGATGTGTCGTGTTAATATTCCCCAATAATTACGAGTGTCCGAATGGTTCACCATCCAAGGTCCAATTTTCGCCGAACAACATCCTGAATCTGCTCCAGCTCCAGAATATGAACAACACGTACATTTCCCGGTGGGTTTACCTTTTCAATGATTGGGAATGCAGTTTCAATCATCCCCATGTATCGATCCAAGTACAATAATTAAAGTATATAATTTAAAAGTATGGAATGAGACTCATTGTTGCTTCCGATTCATACCCGATTCAGAGATAGCAAAAAGAAAGCCTTAACCGATTTGAAGAGAACCAATAACCGTTTCGAAGAAAGCAGGACGGCCATCGATACTATCGACTGGATGCGAGTGGTGCGCGCTAAATATAAATCTTTTGAAAGTGTATGAGCGAAAAGGATTTAAATGCAATCAATTGGAATAAATGACGTACGTAAGTACCATTTGGAAGCGAAAATTCAGGAAACCTGCGTTATGTTTGGTTATGTACGATTTGGAATTTTAATTACGATTATGATATGCTCTGTATAGCATAGTACACAGATCAGCAAGCGATCAAGCCGGCTAAATTATTAAATAATGAAGGAAAATGTAATCTATTTAAGGCAGTCAAAAGAAGAATGTTTATCAGGCAGGCTCCGGTCTAAAAAATCGCATCAATTTTCCGATTTACTTTTAAAAACGCAAAAATAGCTGCTGCCGTTTTCGCAAAATTCAAATTTTCTCCGTTTTTAAAACCGCAACATTTTATTCACAGAAATGAAAAGTAAACGGCATTTTACTCAACAAAACGAATCTTGCAAAAGAGAAAATAGATGGCAAAATAAATGGCCAATAATTTTTTTAACCCAATCTCAAATTTTGGTGTTGAAAGAATTTGCCAATACAACAACATTTTTCGTTTGCTAGGAACGGAGCTGCAACAGATTTTTTTTTATCGGAACGTCGGAAAGAAATTAATACAAGCGCATAACAGCCTTCTACAATCACCGGTTATTTATTGGTAAGAGGTTTTGTGAATGGCGACCAAAAATAGTTCAGCTATGCTGAACTACGCCCAGCATGTGATTGGAGAATTGGAGAAGGATATGGCGAAGTTGTTTGGGATTTTTTAAATGGGGAAACGAGTAGTTGCTCCTACTTAATTTTAGCCAAATTAAAATTGTAATGAAAAACAGCTTAAATTTAAATAAATTAAAACATGTCTAAAAAAAATTATTTTAATGAGGAATAGCCAGAGCTATTTCGTCGCGTAGAGATGATTCAGTATCTTCAGTTTCTTCAAATTCAGTTTCTTCGAATTCATTTTCTGTTGTTTCGGTGTCCTGGTGGTCGACAAATCCAATATTCTCCCCGATAGGGACATTACGTCTTCTGCAAATGTTGTGAAGGGCACAGCATACATTTATAATTTGGCAACAAAATATTGGCTGATAAGTCAAAGTGCGTTGCAAGCAACGGAATCGGCTTTTGAGTTCTCCAATTGTGCGTCCCATGATTTGTCGTGCCTCAGAATGCCGTACGTTGAATCTCTGCTGATGAGTGCCTATTTCGGCGCTCTTATAGGGAGTCAGAACAAAAGTCCCTAGAGCGTAATCCGAATCAGCCAAAACAAATTTATCGTTGATGTTCTTGGACAAATATTCTTTAGCAGAAGAGTAGTTCCAAATGAAGGAGTCATTGCAGGAACCGGGATGAGTGGCATCAATAGCTAAGATCTCCATGTTGTAGTTGCACAGAATCATGGCATTCATGCTATAAAATCCTTTGCTATTGTAGAACACGAAGTGGTTTTGTACAGGCTTTAGTATTCTGAAGTGAGTTCCATCCACACAGCCAAAAATTCGAGGCAATTGAAATTTCGCAAGGAAATAATCATGGGATTGTTGCACTTGATGATTATCCATATGCAACGAAATTCCATCACCACATAACAGATTCTGCATCAAGGGAATAAACCTGTGAATAATCTTTCCAAATGTACTTCTTCCAACATTTATATGGTGGTCCTTAGCCACCGCCCACTGGTGGCAGCCAGTGGCGAGGTATCGCATTACTGCAGCCAATTGCGTAGAGTGTGATAGCGTTGAGGAAGCACGCAGATGGAGTTTAACTTTCTCCAAAATCATTTTGAAAGTATGTTTGTCGATCCGAAATGCCTTCACAAACCTGAAAACCTGACCATTACAATTTAAATGTTCAATTTGCCTGCTTCTGCTCACCGTTCGTCAGACATGCTAAGTACGCTGGTGTTGCATCTAAGATGTCTTGATCTTCGTAAATCGCGCAATTTCTGCCTTCGTTTTGCTTCAAAGCAAGCAATTGAAAAAATAAAAGGCATTTTTATTAATTTACGGAGCACCACAACCAGGTCGGTCAGCTGTTTTTGTTTGTCAGAAACGATGAGAAACATGAAACATATCGATACCAAATATTTTCGAAAACGGGAGCAGCTAAAAACGAAACTTTTTGGTTGAAAACGCAAAACGCAAATTAAGTGAAAAACGCATCCTGCCTGTATGATTTTAATTTTACTTTACGTTTTTCTCCCATAGCTCTCCTCCGCCAGAGCACGTACACTGCACGAGGAGGAGTGTGTGCGGGAGAGAGAATGAGTAAAAGCGTGGAAGGAGTATCGTAGTCACTCCAATTTAATTTGTTCCTTCTGGCTATAATAAGGATCCGCTCTGATTAAGCAATCTCTAGATCTTCATTCTCTATGATTTTCTTCAGTCACCATATTTGTTTGCGCTCTACCTCTTATAGTCTCAGAGATCTCGCCGCTCATCAAGGTTGGCATACGGAAATACAGACATGACTGTATCGACTTTGCTATTGCTGCTAAACACGGAAACGCTTCCTTTTATAATCGGGTATAAAAAGCCCATTTGGAGATGATATGGTTTACATAAATGGTTTTTATTTATAAAAATCACAACGGTAGAAATTAATAATACTATTTAACAAAAAGGAATGCTTATCGATGAACAAAATAACACAGTGAGGCGTATGTAGTTTGTACATATGCATGAACATTATGAATTTGACTACAGACGAAGACAAATAGATACGTGAAATATTGCAAAGGGCGAATATTGGAAGGTATTTTAAGCAGGTTTCATGCCAAACCAACTCATTTTCCAATTCAATGTGTCGTGTAACAGTTTTTCCTCCTCAGCTGTCAGCTGCAGTAAAGTGGAGACGGCACGGATGAGGTGACGGGCTTCGACCTAACAGGAAGCATGCAAACAGATGGATATAGGATACATATACTATGATGGGCAAGCAGATAATGTAACATACCTCTCGACTTGTTAAGAACTTCACAACAACATGCTTTAGATATTGGAAATTGACCTCGTCCATTATGATGCAGTTGGCTTTGTCTCCGCCTGCAAGCGACTCGAGCGCTGTGCTATGGTTCCTATAGGGAGTTATAGCTTGATGATGGGATTCACTCTCTGAAGAGATTTGCGAGTTGCGGAATTCCTTTTGCATGGTTTTTTTCAGATCTAACAATCTCTGATTAAGCGTTTTTATTGTCTGATTTCCGGCAAAGCAGAGAAACATTGAGTCTAAGTACCACGAATACTTCACTTCCATCTCACCTTATTTTTCTCCATGATCTCCAGCTGTACTGCTTCATACTTAGCTAGCTTCTGGATATTTTCCTCTGCCGCACTGCTGACCTGCTGCAGGGCTTTCCGGGCCTCGCCCATGTCATTTTCAAGCTGCTTAGTTCTATCCTGCAATTCGATCGCTTCGCTGCGCTCGAGGCGCAGTTGCTGCCGTAGTATATCTTCGCTTTGAGAGATCTCCGCATTTCGAAGTATTGACGTCATTTTCTCCTCGCGTTCGACTTCCAATTGGATGAGGGACTCCTCGAGTTGGTCTTGCTTTTCGCTCAGCTGTGTTCGCAGCTTCCTTGCCACCTGCTCGGCATTTGTGGCATATTCGCCAAATCTGTCGTCGGCTGCCGCGAGACGTGCCTTGAGATCTTTAACCTCGGTTTCCAAAATTTGCTAAGAAAATTCAGTTTATTCGTTTACGAAATCACCATCACACAAGTGTAAATATAGGAATAGGCACATAAGAATTTTGTTCAAGGAAAGAAGTTGCCAAATCAATTTGAAAACAGTTTAATAAAAAGGAAAACCATTAAATTAAGGTACATTCGTAAATGGTAAATATTTCGTTTTGCCAAAAGATGGGTTTTTAGAAACAAGTCAAACTACTAGTCAGGTTTGGGTTAGTACTCAATCATGCGGTTTAATTAGTGTGACAGGTCCCACTGCAAGTCGTCAGCTTCAGTGGACATACTCACAGATTTGTTTCGCTCAAAGATGATTTGCTGCTCATTCTCCTCTCGACACTCCTTCAGTGCCAGATTCAGCTCATCGATCTCCTCCTCCAGTAGCCTGACCTGCAAATTGCGTAAACAAGGTATAAGAATACTGGTAATGGGGTATATTAATGATTACCTTATCATCTCGTTGTTTGATTTCGTCAATGGCTTTCTCCAGTTCAAATGCCACTTGCTTGCGCGTCTCTATGGCATCGTCTCGGTCCTTGAGCGCCTTGCGCTTCTCAGTCGTTTCCTCTGCCACTTGCTTTGATAGTCGACTAACTTGCGTTTCCAGCGCCAGGTTTTGTCCACTCCAAGAACCCTTGATATCGGACAGCTGTAGGTGGGCCTCTTCCAGGTGCTGCTCGAGCAGTTTGTGCTCTCGTATGAGTGCCTGCACTTGCTGCTCTGGGCTTAGCTTGGTGAGGGATTCCATTCGAGACTCCTCTACTATATTCATGCGCAGCTTCAGATTTCTGTTCTCCTCTTGCACAGTCGCCAAGGTGGTGGTCAGAAGATTCTTTTCCTGCTGTGTGCCATGTCGCAGGCGCTGCAGCTCATCGCGCAGCTCTTCTGCAACTGATTCAATCGGTCGTAAGCGTTCCAGTTCCTCGGACAGATTCTCAATTTGCTGACTATGCTGACGCATCGAACCCATTCGATCCACGGCTTCTTGCTCGCGGAAGCTCAGGAGATTTTTCAACTTGTCTATTTCCACTTGCTGTAGATTTTGAATCTTCTCCTGCTCCTCGCAGTACATATCCTTCTGGGTTTGGGCCACTCTAACGCTCTCCAATAGGATCTCGTTGGTCTTGTCGACGCGCATCTTTTCCTCCTGCAGCTGCAGCAGGCTCTGGCTGAGACTGGACACTTTGGTGGTGAGCTCATTGCATTGGCTACGCAACTGGCACAGTTGTTCAGACTTTAACAGATGTTTACAGAAGAACATACGTTATACCATACTCGCAGTGTTTATACACACAAAAATAGACTTTTTGCCTCTTACCTCGTTGTAGATACTGCCACCGCCCACATCATCAGCCGAGTTGGAATTAATGCTAACTCGGCGGCTCCGTAGCCGATAATTATTGTTGTTAGCATAGCGCTGCTGGGGCTGGGGCTGGGATGCCGACGTAGACACATCTTCGCCGGTCTCCTCCTTGATTTTGTTTTTCAGCGTCGCAAACATTCTGATTACTGACTTCTGCTATTACGAGGCCAGGCGGGCCGTGCCGTCCTCCTGCTGTTGCGAATCGAAACTTTTTGTGTATGCCTGCGAATCCAAGCAAAGCTAATAGAATGGTCTAGCTGCGTGGGTGGCCGCTCAGTAAACGTGCCCGTGGAGCGTTTATAGCATTTCGTGTGCTACTTGCTTATCAGAAATATGTAAATTCTTGTCAACTGGCGATGTTGTCCCATCCTTGCCCCTTCGACACACGACACCCTTTTTTCACCAGTCTGGCTACGCTCCAACACAGCCAGGGCTGTATTTGGCAATGTTTCGATAGTAGACGCCAAAAACAGCTGTGAATGCGCGGTAACTTTTCCAAAAAAAAAAACATAATTGTACTTGTTTGTGTTTTTTTGTGTCTTACCAAATTAAGAAAAGTAAAGAAGTTAAGCTGAAATAGACAAATCGGAATCAACCTCAGTAATATTCACCCCGAACGGGACATACAGTCATGGATCAATCTAAGCAGGCTCTTCGCGACCTTTGCGACAATGGGAATCTAACCTGCGGCTCGTCCTTGAAGGAAATTACACTTATTGAGACAGTCACCAGTTTTCTTGAGGAGAATGGAGCCGCCGAGATAGACCGAAAAGTACTGAGGACACTGGCAGAAGCCCTGTCTAAAAGTGTGGACGAGTAAGTAACCCAAATGCATACTGATAATAATATCTGCCTATATGTGGGCTTCTCGATCTTGCCCACTGTGCGCCATCAGTTTATTCATTTGCTGATCGGAGAATAATACGCTCTTTGTGGTGGCTCTCCGAGTCCGTGAAAGCCTCCCTTATGTACATACCATGTGCCATATGTACTGTCCCGTCGCGTTTGTTACCCACCCCAAAAGTTTCACGAGAGCAAGCGAGAGCAGCGCACAATGCGCTCCGGGTACAGCGGGAAATGCGTGACATCTGCTTTCAGTGTGTGCGAGTTTTACAGAGCGCATTTTCCTTTTTCAGAGCAGATGAGGCTGGCTGGCACTGGGTTTTTCTCCGTCTCTCGATGCCTCGCGTTTTTGTTCAGTCATTTATGTTCTGGCTTTCGGTTTATTTGGACGTAGAAGATTTTGAATTCATTTCGCGCTGATATTCTACTCGTTTGCTGTGCTTGCGCCATTCTCTGTCGTTCTATATACACACACTATCCCATACATGTGCATATGTAAATAATAAGAAAACAAACTTACAGTTTAAATAATCAAAGGGTCGGCTATCGGTCGTGTATATACATTTGTGTAAGTGGAGACAGCAGTGAAGTTACAATTGTTTATACGGTCACGGAATATATGTAAATAGCTGCATCTGCATCTGTAGATAACATGTAAAGGATGCTGTGCTTTTGTGAAACCTTCAAAATACATTTACATACATATATTTATATATGAGAATGTGTGCGGATGTACAATGTGTATATATGTACATCGGTGTATGCATCTAGAGTAATTCGCGCCCGTCTGTGTTGTCGTTGTTGTTGATTTCTTTTGTCGCTAGCGATGCTCTGTGGTGTGTCTAATTTTAGTGGCGGAAAAGTATAGAAATTAATTTGTTGAATAGCGAATCCCCAATTGCTCAATCCACACCCATATCAGCAGTACGGCAGCAGCGGCAAGCCCTCTCCGATGATATCCCGCCTTATCAGACGAACCGAACAGTGGACGGTGACACATGTGTGTAGTTAACATCTACACGGGTATGTAGCAGGAGAGAGCGAAAGTGGAGAGAGGGGTGGGGTTTCTTTGTTTACCGTAAGAGTGTAATTCCCCTTCCCCCTTCTCCTTCTAGGATAAAGTACAGTGTCTGATGCACGTATGGCTGCATGTTCAAAGTCAACGCATTAGCGGTATATAAGGTGCTATCCAACCCCCTTCCCCGCTCACATATCACTCAATGTGCTCTGCTTTCGACGATGCCTCCTGTACTTCTGTTTATTGTTATTGTATCGCTCTGTTGAATACTGCAGGCGCCTTTGTGTGCCATTATCACTGGCCATCCATAGCCTGACACCCACTCGAGAGTCGCGCCAGGTAGCCAGGTAGATGAGCGAGCCCAGACTGAGGCGGGAATGGGTCTTTTACTTCGGATACCTGCAGCGGTATGGGGCTATAAAGCCAGGAGAGGTGCAATTCAGCTGTTAACAGGACACATGTCCTGACACGTTTAGAGTCCACCTGTTGTTTAGGAGACCATTGATTTTCAAGAGCGCCTCTGTAACCATAGCTATGGGCACGGACAGAGCCGTAGCCAAAACAAATGAGTGCAAATGTTTGGCAGAGTTTTCGTAGCCCTGTGCTCTGGCCTGGCCTGCAATTGTCGTTCTATTGCCGTGTGGAAGGAAGAGCCTTTGCGGTTTGCTCATTTCCCAAAATAAATGTGCTTTATGTGTGCGAGTGGCCTCAAGTGCTGCTGCATCTCTGGCAGGGGTCTGGTCTGCGCTAAAATATGCATCGGGTACGTCGTGCATCCAATCCATAGAAGTATATCATGCCTATCCGCCGCCCGGTTCTCGGGTTCTTTGAAGCTTCTTCCGCCCTACGGCTCACTGCTCCTCATCGACAGCAGGCGGCAGCCAATGACTCATAGTTTGCTGCCCCTTGGGACGGGACGAAGTCTGTGGTCTGTCGTGTGCCGTGCATCGCGAGGTATTTAGGGAATAAAGCCAAGAACACCAACAACATCAACATCAGGCGGTGACGTGTCTGCTCTTAATTATAAACTAAAAAAGAAAAACCACGAACCTATTTAAACATCAAATATAGAGTTTCTGCAACATCCCTTCCTCCAAAAGTGAACAATATATGTATAAATAAATGTGCCTAATGTTGAAGAAAACGTGAACACTATGGCGGGTATATTTCGCTCTACGTCTCTGAATAACTCAAATGAATCGCAGGGTTCGCCATTCAAGCGATTCTCATTGAACTCGGGCAACAATCAATTCTGGTAAGTAAATGTTCCATTCGATCTGTAATATATGCTATTTTATTGGATGGGAAATAAGTACCAGCAGCAACGGATTTAAGGGGCGGAAGTACGACTTGTACTCATTCATCTGTGACTTGGACTAAAATTCAGCTGCCAAAAAAAGAACAGAACTTTGAATGGGTGTGTTCCATTTAGAGCAGAGTAGAGCAAACTGTAAGATAGTTGAGCATAGAAATCATTGAAAGAGACTCGGAACAGGGACAGGGTTCGGGCTATCATTTTCACGCTTCAGTTAAGAGCCTGCAAGAGTCTGAGATCATTAAAACCGTAAATAACCTAGGCTATATTTTGATTTGGAAATTCAGTTCACTACTAGATTCCCATTCCAAGAGCTTACAAGGGGTAGCAGAGCGGAGGGAAGGGAGAGACATGTCATTAATTAATGATAGCCGCCAGTCGAAGGTGCAATGCCAGCCACAAATAGAAAATCGTTGCATTTGTCCGTAGATTTTCCACTCACAGATCTCAGATCGGGCCAAATAATTGAAACCGGTTTGGATTCCGATTAAGCTTTGATCAGCTGTATCGTTGATGGTCAGAGCCGCAGTGCCAGTGCCAGAGCCAAAGCCAGTACGAGACTGGAACTCACTTGGAATGGCCCGATCAAGTGGTGGAGTGCTATGCCTGCTGCTGCTGTGCTTCCTGCTTCTGGTTCTGGCCCTTGCCCTGGCCGTTCGACTGAAGCCCTGCGATCTGGCCGGGCAGCTCTACATCCTGGACGTGCCCAAGTCGGAGCTGCCTCTGTGGCTGTGCATCGCGGAATTCGAGAGCCGCTTCAACACCCACGCGGTGGGGCAGGCCAATGCGGACGGCTCCCGGGACTATGGCCTCTTTCAGATCAGCGATCGCTTCTGGTGCTCACCGCCCAATCAAACGGAGTACTATACCTTCAACGAGTGCAACGTGAACTGCACGCGGCTGCTGAGCGACGACATTACCATGGCCGTGCAGTGCGCCCGGCTCATACGGAGGCAGCAGGGCTGGACGGCCTGGTCGGTGTACGGTCAGTTCTGCAACGGCACGCTGGAGGGCATTGATGAGTGCTTCCAACCCCAGAACCCGGCGGGCAACAGAAGCTGTGCAGAGAGTGAGTCGGTGCTGGGAGATTGTAGCTGACGGACGGGTCAGACGGGGTCTTGGGACTTATGACATCACTGCCGAAATATTTGCGAAAATAAAATATTAATTAACGTTTAAGTTTGAGTTTTTTCTTGTCTATGTCATCCAGAGGTCAGCCCAGAGCCTTAATTGTTTCCGCTTTCCATTCCATTTCAGCACCAGTCCCGGAGTCTTGCAAGATGTGACCATGGATAACTCATGTAAGTTTCATTTCAGACGCAAATCCCAGTAGGTTTTTCGAAAAATGTGTGCCTCAGTCCACAGCCCACAGTTCACAGTTCGTTTGGCAGCCTCAGGTTGATACAGTATTTAGGTTTTAGCAATACATATTGGAATTCAACATATGTTAGATGTGCGAAAGCGGTCTTCCAGTTTGAATATATATTTTTTATACGCTTCTCTCGCCGGACCGTACCGTTTTATGGAGCATATATAAGAAGAAGGTCCAACAATTGAACGACATGAGCCTGGAACGACCCCCTAGACGCTGCTTGCCGCGAAAGCCGTTCAACCCCAGTGCGCATCAGACATAAAACTCTCTTTGGAGTCAGCCGAAACACAAACCAAACCACTCAATGACCGGGCCTTTCCTTGTGTCCCCCACAGATGCCAGTTTCGATGCGGGCCGTCTGCAAGGCGAAAGCCACTCGCCTTTGGCCATGCCGGGCCGTTCTATGCGCAACGTGGAGGAGCAGATGTCGACGCTGCGAAAGGAGAACTTCAATCTCAAGCTGCGCCTCTACTTCATGGAGGAGAGCCAGCTGGGGCACCAGCGGACAAACAATTCGGGCGAGTCTCTGTCGAAGCAGTTGATCGACACAAAGATTGAGGTCGAAGTGCTGCGCAAAACGGTCGAGGAGAAGACGGAGCTGCTGAAGGACGCCGCTCGGGCCATATCCATGCACGAGGAGATGCAGCGCAAGGCGGAAACCGAAAGCAATGCGTTGATCGATGAGCTGCAGCAGCATCTGCGCCACTACGAGGTGAGTATCTTGTATGTCTTGAGCAGTCATGACCTCTATTCCCTACTTGTGCATTTTAGGAAACTGGAGCTGCCTTTGAAGGAGAGTCCAGAGAAGCACTCGATGAAAAGCTCAAACACTTGGAATCTGAGGTCCAGAGGTCGAGGCAGGAACTGGTCGAGGCCGGCATACGGCAGATAGCCTGCCAGGACCAGCTGAAATCGGCACAGGCCGAGCACCAGGAGACGCTGTCCTCCTGCGAGGCCAAGATCCAGGAGCTGGCCATCAAGAACGCCGAGCTGGTGGAGCAAATCGAGAAAGCGCGGCAGTGCAGCGACGAGGCAAATGTAAGTAGACGCCCCCAGAAAAAGGGGAGTGTCTCCCAAGAGATTAGGGCCGTAGTGTAGTGCTAGTTATAGGACGCATGTGGTGATGATGAGAGGGACACTCGTTTTAGGGAACCATCAGGGGGCATGTGCGGCAAATCCACGTCGCTCGGACTGAGATAACTATCCTGACGGTGAGAGTGGATCGCATTCAGGCCGAACTGGAGAACTATTCTCAATTGCTGAAACGCATTATGCCCACTCTGGCCATGCTGCAAAGGAAGATCTTTCAGCGCGATGTGAGTAGAGCTGCCGCACACTGATTGGTGCCACGAGTCACCCAAACCCCACCCAAAGGTTGAGAACGACAATTTGGAATGGGAAAGAGAGCAGCTGAAGAGCAGAGTCGATGAGTACGAGGCCATCATCAACAGGAAGGAGGTGGACTCGTGTCTGATGCGGCCTTTACTCAACGCCAACAGGTGCCAGCACAAGGCTCTGCTTCCCCAGAGAAATTGTGTAACCTTTGAACTGCAGCGTAGTGGCAGCACCTCCTCGCTGAGCTCAAACTTTTCGGCGATCAGTGTGCTGGGAAGCAGCGGACGGGAGTCAGCGTCGGCGGTCAGTAGTGCAATGCCATTGGATGCCGCAAAGGTGACTCAATCTCCATCGCCAGCAGTTTTCGACCAATAAAACGCCCTCGTTGCCCACAGAACCAGCGGAATCAGCCGCATAAGAACTATGCCAGGCGACCAGTGCGGCTGCCAATCGCTGCGCCAGGGCGCCCCTTACAAAACTATACGTTTCCCAGCCTTCTGCGGCAGTTTTTTAACAGAGCTTGGGGCCACATGAACTAAAGTAACTTTCGTGGATTTATCGAGTCTTTATCGTTTCGATTTATGTTTCAACAGTTTTTTGGGGGATCAAACACAAATTTATCGTTATAAAGTATTCAAACTATTCCAGCCAATAAATACGAGTATTGCTCAAAGAGACTCTGAACTTCATTTGCTTTCCATTGTAGGCTAAGCAGGAGATGGACGCCCAACTGGCGGACAATATGTGCGAACTGCAGGATGCGCAGGAGAAGCTAAAGGAGCGAGAACGCATCCACGAGCAGGCATGCCGCACCATACAGAAGCTAATGCAGAAGTTGAGCAGCCAGGACAAGGAGATCAAAAGACTCAACCAGCAGCAGCAGCCGCAGGAGCAGCACTCGGTTAAGAAAGAAGTGAGTGCTGCTAGGGACTAGTACCTTTTACAATTATAAAACGTATATTTATGTATTTGTAGAGCGAGAACAGCAAGGCCACCATATCGACATCGGCAACGGGCCGTTCGCTAAGTGACAATGAGGCGTGCTTTTTGGAAATATCCTCGGGACTTAAGGAACAATACGAGTATAAGATGGCCGAACAGGAGCTAAAGATCCAGCAGCTTCAGGCGGAAGTTAAAAAGAAGACGGCCAATCTGCAGAACCTGGTCAACAAGGAGCTGTGGGAAAAGAACCGCGAGGTGGAGCGCCTGACCAAGTTGGTGGCCACCAGCCAGCAGCCGCAGTCGCTGCCGCAGATAAACGAAGAGTCGATTGGCTCAGCAGCCGTTGATTTGCAGCAGTCCTTTACCGAGCTGGAGTACACCAAAGCCCTGGAACGCAACAAGCTGCTGCAGCGCAAGGTGGACGTGCTCATCCACCGCCTGGGAGAGGATCACCAGAACAGTGCGGTGATTGGACAGCTGCGGCAGGAACTGCGCCAGGTACAGGCGGACGCTGAGAGCGCGAATAAGTGGCGACTGGAGTGCGCCGATGTTTGTGGTGTGCTGACCAACCGGCTGGAAGAGCTGGCCGGGTTCCTTAACTCGTTGCTCAAGCACAAGGATGTGCTCGGTGCACTGGCCGCTGATAGGCGGCACGCCATGCGTCGAGCCGTGGACCGTAGCCTGGACCTGTCCAAGAGCCTGAACATGACGCTGAATATCACTGGCGCCTCGCTGGCCGATCAGAGTCTTGCGCAGCTGTGCAATCTCTCTGATATGCTGTACAACGACGCAGATGCCGAGGCGGAGGCCGATGCCAGCCACAAGACGTACAACTCGCATGAAGAGGTACGCACCGCTGGCGCCGCCTCCATCAATCCAACGATTGAGCACCTAAAGGCCGAGAACAAGGCGCTGAAGCGGGAGTTGGAGAAGCGCCGCACCTCGGACGGGCAGCAGCTGCGAAAGGAACGCCGTTCCCTGCCCCTGCCCACCCAGCAGCCAGACAACCAAAGCGAATCGGAAGCCTGGTCCGAGCCGGACCGTAAGGTTTCCCTGGCCCGTATCGGACTGGAAGAGACCTCACACAGCCTTGCCACGGCCGAGCGGCAGCCCAGCGAATCGGAAAGCGAGGGGCGGCGCGCCTGCTCGGCCAGGCAGGAGCGCAGTCGCACCAGCGAGCGCATTGCCCAGCTGGAGGAGCAGATAGCCCAGAGGGACGAGCGTGTCCTGAGCGTGCAATGCCAGCTGGTGGATCTAGACAACAGATACAAGCAGGAGCAGCTGCGCTGCATGGACATTTCACACCAAATGGAGCACTTGCGGGCCGCCAACGAGGCCCTCACGGCCGACCTGCAGGCCATTGGAACGCAGGAGGATCAGCAGATGAACGAACTCCAACGTCTGATCGATATAAAGACCAAACAGATTGATCAGCTGGAGCTGGCCCAGAGCACATTGACTGCAGATGCGCAGATAACGGACATGGAACTACAGGCAGCACAGCAGCAGCTCGTGGAAATGGAACAACAACACGCTGAGGCTTTGGACCAGGCCCAGGCCGAGATGGCAGAACTGAGGCGGGAGGCAGCGGAAAAGCTCGAGGAAGTGCAACGCCGGCACCAGGAGGCGCTCGAGCGAGACTGGGTAGCGCTGAGCCTTTACCAGGAGCAGGCCCAACAGCTGCTCGAGCTGCAGAGGTCCCTGGAGTACCACCAGGAGAACGAGATGGAGCTGAAGCAGACTCTCGTGGAGAACGAGCTGGCCACGCGTTCGCTCAAAAAACAACTGGACGAAAGCACCCTGCAGGCATCCAAGGCGGTCATGGAACGGACCAAGGCCTACAACGACAAATTGCAGCTGGAGAAGCGCACAGAGGAGCTCAGGCTGCAGTTGGAGCTCTTGAAAGGTGTGCAGCCGCAGCGCCAACTCGTTCAGCCAGCTCGTTCCAACAGCAGCGATGTGTCGCAGTCGGGATACACCTCGGAGGAGGTGGCTGTGCCCATGGGACCACTAAATGGCAACCAATCCAGCGTACCGGCCAGCACGGCTGTGGTAGTGGGGCGCGTGAGCAGCTCCTCGCCGGATCTCGGTATAGAGAGCGATGCCGGCCGAATCTCCAGCGTTGAGTTGTGTACAGCTACACAGCGTGCCCTACTGAAGAATGAGACGCCGTCAGGTGCTAAAGATGGTAAGCATTTCAGAATAAGATTTTTCACGAGAGAGCGAGCCCTCATCTGTATCCCATTCACAGAACCCGTTGAAAACGCATTGAGTGTGTCCCAACAACAGCAGCAGCAGCAGCCGTCTGCAACAATTACACACGACTGTGCCAAGGTAGAACAAGAAAATGCTGAATTGAGGCGTAAACTAATCCGCACCAAGCGCGCATTCGAAGACACCTACGAAAAGTTGCGTCTGGCTAACAAAGCTAAAGCACAAGTCGAAAAAGACATCAAGAATCAAATACTAAAAACTCACAATGTTCTGCGAAATGTACGCTCAAATATGGAGAATGAGTTCTAACAATTGATTTCACGTAGTCGTCGACGACGACTATATCAGCATTAATTAATAGTTCCAT